TGCTAACGCCTGGGAAAAGCCACGCACTGTCGTCCAGGGTTGAGCAACCTGCCATCCGTGTGGGGAACCCAGAAGAGGCTCCTGGCTTCAGCCTGGCCCAGCCTGCCTGGAAGAACTCTCTCTGCCTGCCTCTCTCTCTCTCTCTCTCTGTAACTCTGCCTTTCAAATAGATAAATAATAATAATAATAATAATAATAATTTTTAAAAGGTATGAACTCTCCACAACCTTTTTTTGAAGCTCCCGGGTGTTCGGTGGCAGCCCCTTCTGGCCACAGTGTGGCGCTGTAAGACTCTCCGTGAACTTTGACAGGTCCCTGCACCTGCTGGTCCAGGAAGGCAGGCGCAATCTCCTGCCCTGTAAGCTGGAAGGCAGCCTCGCCCCCGGAAGACCGGCTGAAGTGCAGCGCCGCATCCAACTCTTGGGGCCCCGAGTGTGCAAACGCTGGCCGCGAGGGTGTTCAGATCGCGCTAAGGTTTTGCACGAAGCAGGGCCTTTCTGTAGGAGTCTGCAGGAGTAGGAAGCCTGAGGCTGAAGAAGGGCATGTGTGGAACAGGACTTGGTCAACCTCCCCTGACTGCAACTGCTAGGACAGCTGTGGCAGTATAGCGGGAGGACACAGGAAGGGCTGCAAGTTCGTGTACGGACCAGGGGCTGAAACTCCTGCTGGTGCTGCTGAAACATCCGCACAGCCGAGTGTGCTGCGGGCGCGACCTCGTGCTAAGTCAGCCCTCTTGTGGAGAAAACGGGGAGCGCCTTGGGTCTCCAGGGTCTTGAAGGGCAAAATTGTAGCCTTCGTTTTTTAGGGACGCCGCTATTTAGTTTTGACTCTCTCTCTGGGTGGGGATTTCTAGGGAAGACAATTATGTCGTCCCAGGCGAGTTCACGCAACAGCACAAAGATGTCTCACAGCAGAAGGCCAGCCTTGTTTAGGAAAAGAAAGAAGCGAGCAGAGGGGAACCCCGGGGCTAGTTAGTGACTTGGAGGGTCACAGGCCTAGGGTCCCGGGAGCAGGGGCTGGAGGAGAATCCACATCTCCCTGTCAAGGATCTGTCCGCTCTTGTGCCATCCACATGGTGCCGTGAAAGTCCCACCCAGGTAGGCATCCAAAGGTTATTAAGGTCTGCCGAGAAAAATCCCCGGATACCATAAAGAGCCTGGCGGAGCACGAGAGAGGTGCGTACGCATTCGCACATTTCTTTGAGGTTGACTGGGCACGTGCTGGTCGGGCATCTGCTGTGTTCTAGACGCTGGGCTTGACACAGAGATCCCGAAGGCAGCCAGACACACGCGGTGTCTGCCTCCTGGAAGAGGGGGCATGATATTGATACACATATATGAAATCAAGAAGTAACATTAATTCATGGTGCCAAATAAGGGCCACAAAGAACAACGCAGGATTTCGTTTGGTAAAACTGGAGCTGTTCACACGCCCTGGTGTCTCTGGGGAGGCCATGGAAAGAAGGGTGTGTGCATGGTAGTGACACACACCAGGCAGGACGTGGCAGGTGCGCAGAGCCTGGGACGTGCCCTGTTGGCCTTGAGTTGGAGGGAAGCTAGCCAGTTCAGGCTGGCCGGAGGAGGTGGGGGCGGGGAGCAGATGGGAGCGAGGGGAGAGGCTGCCTGTGCGGGATCATGTCCCTAGGAGTAGCAGGCTGAGAGCACAGGCTCCCTGTGGGGGTGGTGGAAGTGAACCCCTCAGCGCCGGCACCCTCTGTGTTTCTGGCAGATGATCCGGAAGCAGTCAGGTTCTCTTGAAGCCCGGTGAAGCTGTGTTGCAGCTCCCACAGCAAGCTCAGAGTTCCCAAGGACGGCTGAGCCCAAGACCCCTCCTCAAATCCCAAACCATCAGATATTCTCAGTTCCTCTATTCCCCCAGCTCTGTCCACCCTCCCGCCCCGTCCGAAGGGGCCCAGGAAGGTCCGTGGAGGTGAGTTCAGGGACACAGGGCCGGTTGGTGGCAGAGCCAGCGTGACCTCAGGCTGTCTCCCGTGACTTCCCACCGCTGCCCCCCCTGCTCAGGCTGGATGCTTTGGAACAGGCAGTTTCATCCTTTCCTTTTTTTGAAACAACACATCAGATTTTGAGAGGCCCCCGGGGGTTGCAGGTGGGTGGGGGCGGCATCTTAGGTGGCTCTCAGGGCATGGGGAGGGGTAGTCGGGGGTGGCCCGGTTAATGATCCGTTCCCTAATGCTGATTCACAGGGGACCATGGAGAACTCAGCCTGGGGCACCTGCGAAGCAGGTGCGTTAGGATCAAAGTGCTCTTGAAGGCAAGGGACACACTTAGGGCAGCTCACCCCGCACCTGGTCATCCCTGGGCTATCACAGCCACCGATCAGTTCAGGAAGATAATGAAACAAGGACTAACTTGGCCTTCCTGCAAAGAGGGACAGCTCCTCCCTGGCGTGTAGCCCAGGGCAGTGACGCAGGCCAGGGCAGAATCTGACTTGGACACGACCTGCCTGAGGGCAGAAGCAGCTAGTTCTGGGGTGTCAGTCCACCCAGCCTGTCCTCATCTGGGCAAGGGAGCAGGGCGGGTGGTGGGTAGAGAGTGGGAGGGGTGCCCAGGGGCTTGCTGTCTGGGAGGTTGTTTTCTGCAATCGCCACAGCCCCGCCACGGACGCCTCTCCCTCACGAAAGGCTCCCCACAAAGAGCTCCCCGTGAGCCGAACACTCTCAAGTCAGAGCTCACCATTTTGGCTCTGGCACCTGGGCACCCCATTTCCCTGTTGCTTGCCCAGCCATAGGCTGAGTGGTTGGCGTGTGGAGGGACATCGTACCTGTGGTCACAGAATTGCCATTTTCGTAATCATTGGATTCGTTTAATTTTTCTTTGTTTAATTTATAATTATTTTTTTGACTTTTTAAGAGAGAAAAGAGAGCATTCGCAGCTGCTGGTTCACTCCCCAGCTGCCCGCCCAGCATGTCTGGGGCTGGTTTGGGTCTTTACCCATCACAGCCCACCCAGGCTTCCCAAGTGGCCCCTACTGGAATAGCTCCCACATTTTTCTGTATATGAGAAGAAAGGGAGTGGGGGAGGAGGTCTCAGAACTCTGCAAATCCATGCGCCATCATGTATGGACACAGCAGCCTCCGAAAGGAACCTAGGCTTGCTTTTGGTCCTCGGGGTGGGGGAGGGGGAGTCCAGTCTCCAGCTGAGCTTGAGACCTGATGCCCTGAGAGCCAGAAGCCCCGGACTTCTGCCAGATTCGCGCGAACACCAGGAAGCTGTTTTGAACTTGTCCTAGATACCATGTGGGAAGCAAACTGGCTGGAACCGGAGCTAAGTGCTCAGCCCTTGCCCTGCCTGCCCTGTTCCCTTGCTCAGGTGAGAAGGACAGACCGGGGTGTACTGATGCCCCAGAACAAGCTGCTCCCGCCCTCGGCTGACGCTCCAGCTACCATGGCTGTTTCCCAACCATTTTGAGTGAGGAAGTAGCTCTTTCTTTTATATTGGTTAGTAACAGTTACAAGTTTAACATTCAGCTGCAAGTTTAACATGCATCATGGAATTGTACCAATAAACAAAAATAAAAATATAGTATCATATTGTCAAGGTACGTGTTTAATTGTTTTATTGGGGAGTAGAGATACCTAATTCGACATATCTTCACTCCTCAGTATGCTAGCCTCCATTATACGGTTCATCCATGACAGTATATGTAATACTTGTTCACCTGTACATCTGATTGTTTTGTATTTTGCATGAACGTTGCCTTGTATCAGAGAGAATATATTTGTCCTTTTGGGACTGGTTTATTTCACTGAGCATAATGGAAGACCGTTTCTTTATCAATGGAATGAAAATTCCAGCTCTGTCACAGGTTGGTAGTAAAAAACTCTGGAAAGCAGAGAACACTGCGGTTGGCACAATCAGACCCTCACTGAGTGCCTGGAGATGCCCACGTGCTTTAGTGAGTCCTGTGCACTGTACACTCCCTCTAACGGGAAGGAGTTACCATGACACCAGGCACATTGCTGCAAAAGTCCCTCCCATCCTGCCCCGTCCACTTGGGCCCTCCCCACACTTCACCTGCTGCCTCTCAGCTACTGTTAGAGACCGCAGAGACACGAGAGATTTCCCCAAACGTGAGATCAAAACGACATGCTGCCTGTGAGAGCAAAAGCGAAAGTGACAGGTGAGAGGACGCGCAGCTCAGAGTGAAGCAGGACTGAGTGGGAGCAGGGCTGGCATGGAGGACTGGGATGGAGGACTGGGATGGAGGACTGGGATGGAGGACTGGGATGGCTTGGGAAAAAGATGCCAGAGCACAGTATCACTGGCTTGTGGGATTTGAGTCAGAGGTTATAGGAACTCAAGGGTATGTTGGCTCTGCCAGGTTAGCCCTGTGTTCGGCATTTTAAAAAAAGATTCATTTATTTTCATTGCAAAGTCAGATATACAGAGAGGAGGAGAGACAGAGAGGAAGATCTTCCATCCAATGATTCGCTCCCCAAGTGACAACAACAGCCAGTGGGCCAGTGCTGTGCTGATACGAAGCCAGGAGCCAGGAGCTTCTTCCAGGTTTCCCACTTGGGTGCAGGGTCCCAAGGCTTTGCGCCATCCTTGACTGCTTTCCCAGGCCACAAGCAGGTTGCTGGATGGGAAGTGGAGCTGCCGGAATTAGAACCGGCACCCATGTGGGATCCTGGTGCGTTCAAGGTGAGGACTTTAGCTGCTATGCTATCACGCTGGGCCCTGTGTTGGACATTTTGAAGGACTTGGGTGGAAAAAAGTTGCAGAAACAAACACAACAGGTGTAATCAGGGACCAGTTGGGGGCCGACACGACCAGAGAAGGCTTTCTGGCAGATTTGAACTTCCAGCTGGATCTTGTCGGCTCAGCAGACTTTGAATGAGCAAAGAGAAGGAAAGTATCCCAAGGGAGGCAGCTGGGGTCGGAGTCTGAGAGGGAGGGAATGAACCTCCTCTGCCTTTTACTGTCTTCCCTTACTCAGCCAGAGTTCAAGCCAAGGATGTGAAGGCGCTTTTGCCCTGGATGATCCTGATGGTGATTGTTTTCTTGATGCTTCTGTTCTGGGAAAATGAGCTGAACGAGCACGAACCGTTGCTAACCTTGGAGCACTTGTACATAGACTACCCCCCGGACGGCGCTGCGGGAAGGTACTGCAACCACCTGATCCAGCAGAGACTCATCAGGGAGCGAGACCACACCTGCAAGAGAAAACACGTCTTCATCCACGAGAGGCCGCAGAAGATCAACAGTGTCTGTCTGTCCACCAAGAAGGCGGCTTGCCTGAACCAGTCCAGCCTCATCTGCTCCCAGAGTGAGACCAAGTTCAGACTAACCGTGTGTGAGCTCACTGCAGGCACCAGATACCCTGCGTGCAGTTACCAGAGCTCAGCCACCCAGGGATTCATCCTTGTTGTCTGCGATGATTTGGGACCAGTGACTTTTGAGGGGTATGTTGAGTAACAGCTGCTGTCCTCTCTGCTCGCTCAGCAGCTGCTGGGCTGGCTGGCTGGCTGGCTGGCTGTGAGGCGAACTGGAATTCTGGACATGGCGTGATGCCTGTGTGGCCACTGGGAATGAACTTGTCCTTTCTAGAATTGTTGAGTTGGCAGTGTCTTATTTTGCTTCAATAAAGAAATCTTCCAAAAAATCAACAAAAAAAAAAAAAAAAAAAAGAGAAAAAGAAAAGAAATCTCCCATGAATTAAACTGTAAACTCTGTGTGTTTTTGTGTTCCTCGTATTTGGGGGTCATTCAGGAGCCAAGAGTGAGTTGGAGGCAGGACTGGGATTGACTAAGGTAGAGTGAATCAGACAGTCATGCCAAGTGTGAGATGGAACACACTGTCCCCCAATCCCACCAGTCGTCAAACCACAGAGTTTTTACTCATCCTTTAAAAAACTCGACATTCATGCAAACATTTCCAAGGTGTGGAATACCTACATTTAAAAGATCTGGTCTGACAGAGTTTGGATTAGAGCTGAATTCTGTGAGTTGTACTATTGTAGATCAAATTCTGCTGTTCAAATATCAAATATGTGTTTACAGGGGATTGCATTGCATTGATTCTACATGTTGTACTAAAATAGTATTTATCTTGATCACTGAGTTTTCTGCTATCTCCTTACATTTTTTAGCTGGAATAAGCAACTCTGTAATTATATCCTAATGCCAGCCCTGACTTTAAGAATAAAAGCAATTGAAATCACCTATCAGGGTCTGTTTGGGTTTGTTTGTTTGTTAATATTTAAAGGGCAGGATTTACAGAGGGTTGCAGAGCTAGAGAGAGGGAGAGAGAGAAAGACCTTCCCTCCTTTGGTTCACTCCCCAAATGGCTACAGTAGCTGGAGTTGGGCTATTATGAAGCCAGGAGCGAGGGGCTTCTTCCTGGTTTCCTGTGTGGGTACAGGGGCCCAAGGTATTGGGCCATCCTCTGTTGCTTTCCCAGGTCGTAGGCAGGGAACTGGATGAGAAGTGGAGCAGTGGCGACTTGAATCAGTGCCAATTTGGGATGCGGGCGCTACAGGCAGAGGATTAGCCCCCAAGGTCTTTTCTAAAGATGGAAGTTACAACACACTACCCTTAGTCCTGTCCGGCAACTCCCTCAGTGTCTTGAGACAAAAGGGGAGTGTGAAAGAGGCTGACTGGTCAGTGGCCATTTCCCTAGTGACAACTGGGTGAGGATCTCCTGGGGAGACAGCGGGGTGCAGGATTCTCACTGTCATACTTTTTGCCCTCTCCAGAGGGCGCAGGGAGGGCTTTGGAGGCAGACCAACGCTGTTCAACACTCAGTTCTGACAGCTGAACTCACAGTTTAGTTCTTGAGGTCCAGCCGTAGGCAGAGCAGCCTCCCTACTGGGGGCCTCTGATTCTGAGCATGCCACGGGATCCCGCTCTCTGATAACAGCCTCCTCATCTGGGAGATGAGGGGCCCCGGCTAGCCCATCTTTGAGCTTCCTTCCAAGTCTGTTGCTCTACAAGTCAATATCCTAGGTGATGTGGAGATTGGTTTTGCTGCAGGTGAGGCTCACTATTGGCAACTGAAGGCCAGATGATGGGGTACCTAATTGTGAGCTGCTTTGATCCTGTGTGTGAGCGCCAGAGATGCATACAAGGGCTGAGAACAGGCCTCATGGGGTCCCGCAGCTCCGAGGGCACTCGCTGTTCCTACCTCCTCAGCTGGGGGACTTGCACAGCTGCAAGTTTAGACCAAATTCCATGCCATCTCAGAGGGAGGCCCTGTGCGTCAGTTGCTGTCTACCTCCACAAATTTTCCGTAAGCATCAAGTTCTGACCGACTGAGTGGATCTATGGGGGATGGCGACCAGGGGCTGTAGAGGATGCTGTGCAACCTTGGAACTTGGCCAGAGGTCGCCGTCCCACAACTTCTTTCCCATGATGGCCTCCTTTCTCCATGGGAATGCTGCCACAGGCTTGGGTGCCACCAAGTGAGTAGGGCCTTGAGCATCTGAGTCCAAGCTGAGTAGGAGCAGCCGGCCCTAGCACAGGACTAGCTGGGTCTTGGTTCCAGCACTTTTTGAGCACAACTCTGAAGTAGATGAAATGTGTCCTTCAGTCCCAGACTTCTAATTTTTTTTTTTAAGTTCTGTTTCCTTTCCTTAGCCATCTCCCTTGGCTGTATTGTCTTTGTTTTTTCTTCCCTTTAGCCTCTAACCTCTCCTCTTCTGAACACAAGCGAAATCTTATAGATGAGCACATTTCCATAACAATGAGAATAACAGCGACTGCAATGGCGTCTGTGCGTGGAGTGCTTTCAGTGATCTTATTTATTTAAAGTTCTACTTAGTTTTGCTTATTTCAAAGGAAGGAAAGAGGGGAGAGAGGGAGAAAGAAAGGAAGGAGGGAGAGAGGATGGGGCGAGGAGAGGCGAGGATATGAGAAGGGAAGGGAAGGGAAGGGAAGGGAAGAGAAGAGAAGAGAAGGGAAGGGAAGGGAAGGGAAGGGAGGGGGAGGGAAGGGAAGGGAAAGGAAGGGAAGGGAAGGGAAGAGAAGGGAAGAGAGAAGAGGGCATTTCCTGTCTGCTAATTCACTGGCTGATTAAAATCTAGACGTTGGAACTCAGCCTGTGCAGGCATCCAAGCATTTGCTCAACACCTGCTGTCTCCCAGAGTACAGATTAGTAGGACACTGGAATTGGAAGCTGAGCTGGGACTGGAAGTCAGAAACTCTGATACTGAATAGGATACCTCAGGCAGTATTTTGTTCTTAAGATTCATTTTATTTTTATTGGAAAGTCAGATATACAGAGAGGAAGAGAGACAGAGAGGAAGATGCCTAAGTGGCTGCAATGGCTGGAGCTGATCTGATCGGAAGCCAGGAGCCAGGAGTTTCCTCTGGTCTCCCATGTGGGTACAGGGTTCCAAGGCCTTGGGCCATGCTCCACTGCTTTCCTAGGCCACAAGCAGAGAGCTGGATGGGAAGCAGGGCCGCTGGAGATCCCTGCTTATTCAAGGTTAGGACTTTAGCCTCTAGGCCACCACACCGGGCCCCCAAACAAGATTCTTGCTTAATATGAACCTTGGGAAGCAGTAGATGCTGAGGAGGTGGCTTCAGTACTGGATTCCTTGTCACTCATTCAGGAGACCCAGATTGAGTTTTGGACTTCTGGTTTCTGCCTGGCCCTAGTCCTGGCTACAGCAAGCATCTGGGGAGTGAACCAGCCAATGAAAGATCTCTCTCTCTCTTTCTCTCAATTGTAGAATTCGTTATTCATAACGTCAGGTAAGTGGAACAAGGCTTTATACAGTGACTTGTAGGACTCAATTTCTTCCTTGTGTCAGCGAGGAAGGCTCAAGGATTCCGAGATAATGTTTATTTCAGGAGGTGATTTTAGAAAAAGCAGAATGTTGAATGAATGGAGGAAGTGGTGATGAGGAGTGAACAAGGGTGGTGACACAGCATCTAGATGTGCAAGGCAAGGAGGCTTTGAGAGGGCAGAGATCAAAGGGGGCAGGAAGGGAACAGGGTCACCGTTAACCATTTTGTCTGGGCTTCTCATGATGTGTTTTCTAGTACTCACTATAAATGAAGCCATGTTCTATCGTTAACCAGTACCACTGTGAAGCTCATGTGTTCAGTTCAAGGTTTGACATAGCATAGAATGATAAAGAAAAGGGGTTCAGAGCTCTGGGGTGGGGGGCTTTCAGCCCCACCCAAAGCAGGAAAAGACCGACAAGTATCCACTGACTAGGGTAAAGAAATATAAAATGAAGGACAACATGGGCCAAACTCCCGAGTGTCAGAAAAGCACAGGTCATTCTGGGTTCAGCTCTGGACAGGGCAGCTTTCACAGAGCAGCAGGCCGCGTTGCGGGCCATCGGGTCTCTGGCTGCCAGAGGGACACTTAGTTCTCTGTGTCCTCGGTTCCACATTGTCTCCTCTGTCAGCCGTGCCCCTCCTCCCTCGGGTGGACTCAATAATAGAAACTCCCAGGAAATAGACACAATTTCACTTCTAACCCTGCAGCAAGCCTGCAGTCTTTTTCAACCGGATCAGCTTGACAAAGGAACTGGTAAAGTCGGATCCCATGACTGGGAATGGGTGGGAAAAGCCATGAGAGGCGGGAAAATGGCATTGTATGTTTCTTCCCGCTTCATTTCTCCAAGTGGTTATCATGTGTCAGATACCAGGGGTGTGAGACCAGGGGTTATAACAAGAGTGAATAGCGTGTGGATACTTTTTCTAATCTAATCAATGAGATTAGGCATAAAGGGACAGTGAAGAGCAAACATACACAGCACCTTACTTCATTCTCACTTTTTTTTTTCATATGGGGAAACTGAGGTTAAATGAGGCAAATTTTGAGTAACTTGAAGTCGGATCTTCAAATTTCACCACTGCTTGTTTTTTCACTCTATCTTACTGCCATTACAGAGTGAAGGGGTGTGTCCGTGTCACTTCTGGGAATAACTGTAGTGGGGAAAAGAGCACCGTCTCCTTAAGAGTTTCCTTGTTTTTATCTTTGTGTCTCTGGTGCAGAGAAGACTGCCCTGGCTCTGCGATGGAGACTTCTCTGCTGCTGCTGCTGCTTAGCCTGGGCGTGGTTCTTGCAGGAGCTTCAGAAGTTACGGAGATAAGGAAAGAAGAATTTGCAGAGCAGAATCTGCACAATGACGTGGCAAAACAGGCTGTTGAGATATTAATGAATGTGACCCTGCTGGATACAAACACCAGTCTCATTGTGTCCAAGAATATTATGTCTTCCTCATTATTGAAATTTGGAGAGTTTCCTTACGGCATCCCTAAGGTACACAGGCTAAGTGATGCCAAAGGTTGTTGCAATGAAATGATGATCTGGAGAAAGCTTTCCAAAGTCAATGGTTCATGTGGGCTGAGCAACATCTTTCCCCACGGCGCTGAGGAAATGACCTGCGGGATCCAGAAGGTCCCCAGGTGCAGCTGCAGGCGTGGGAAGCGCCTTGGTGTCAGCAGCTGTGGCAGTGCGGATCTGGAGCTTTCTGTGTGCCAGCTCCCCGCAGGCACACAGTTTCCCAGGTGCCAATACCACAGTGTGACCTCACTGAAGAAGTTGTTGATGGTGCTGACAGGCCACTCTCTGATGAGCTGGCTCGTCAGTGGCTCAAAGCTGTAAGCCCCACAGGCCTTTGAAACGGGGCCCACCTAAGGAGGACATAGTCATGTTGGTTCCTGTTTCTTTCCTTTTACTATCTACATCTAGCATCTAGTGCAACAGTAAATTCTTAATTATGTGTACTAATTAGAGAAATGAAAATTCCCAAACTGGATAATTCCATGAACATTTACAACTGATCCTGGGGTGCAGATTCATATTCATCTCTCCCTGCTTTCCTTCCTCCCTTCTTTGAAACAAGCTGAAAGAAATTGAGCGCTGTGCTAGTTTACTCATGAAGTGGGGAAGCTGAGTCTATCCACCTGGGTGAAATTTAAGGCGAAGTTCTAAAACTCATGTGGATGATGAGACGTGAATGGTTCTGCCAATGAGATCTTCAGCAGTGCAGTGAAGGAGTGCCCACCCCAATCTCTTCATTGTGCCCACAGCGCCCATGCCCACCCACGTGGACAAGGGTCTGACCATCCTCCAGGACATGTCAAGGGAAACAGCCTTTGACTGGGCATCGCCTCATCCAATACTGCTCGTCACCATTCCCCCACCCTCAGCTCCGTCTCACGGGTTGCTGCCAGAAGAAATAAAAGCTCTGATAGTCATAATCTTGCCACCCTGTGGCTGTGGGAGCGTGATGGCAAGCCAAGGAAGAATGAAGGAGACGTTAAGATGGAAATAGGAAGTCTGTGCCAAGTTCCAGGCGGGACTGATTTTTCATCTTGATGTTTTCTGATGTTTTAATGATTTTTCCAGTTGTTTGCAAGTCTTCATGATTCAACTTACTGCAGAAAGCATGGACGGTTGTCCTGCTCACGCTGTGTGCCCACATGCTTCTGTTTCTGACACTTATGTCTTCCTTCCATCCTCAAGCCATCCTATTGCAGTGTTCTCAGTTTCAATAAATGCATGTCAATGAATATTATACCACTGTGACATTTTTCTTGTATCTGACTTCTTACAAGTGAATTTTCAGGTCACGGGCTAGCATGCGACATTCTGGCAAGAGGCAAAACTAAAGGACAGGAGCTGAAAGATTTAGAAATACAAGGGACCTGGACACACTCTCAGGCAAGCAAACCAGTTACTCCCAGATACTGATTTCATTAGGTTTCTTCCAGTAAACCATTATAAAGATCTGAGGGTCTTGTAATAGAAAAAAAAAAAAAGGAAAAGGAAAAATCACAGAGACTCAGTAACATAATTAACAATCTTATTGTTTATGCTAATGGTGCTGGGCATTGGGTTACAGGTGGGTGACCATCCCCTTGTCCTCAGACTAACACTCAACTACAGAGGATCCCCTGACATCCCTGTCAAACCAGGGTCTTCCACATGTTCATCATCACCTTTATCAGGCAGTGGACCACTCAGAGCTTGGGAGTTCCCATGCGTCTGATATGATTGCCAAGGGTAACCTGTGAGGAATAAGCATCTAACCTTGAGAAGGCAAGAAGCTTCACACCAGCTCCTGGCTTGCTGTGACCAACCATGCTGAACCACAAAGAATTCCCAACATTTCCCCAAGGTTTTTCATCTTGGTGCAGAAAGATTACACTGGAACTGCAGAACTCTGACAATCAACATTTCGGTGGATGACAGCACAGTCTTGCACCTGCTTTCCTGATCAGCATAGTGGCAGCGTAACTGAATGTTCACTGGGTTTGGCCAACAGGTGTGTAACCTGCAGGTGTGTGATGAGCAACCAGAAGGGAGAGGGAGAAGAGATTGCTGCATCTTAAAGGTTTCTTCTCCTCAGGAAAACTCAGGCACTATCTGTGTTAGATAGAAAAAAAAAAAAAAACAAACTTGCTTATAATCATGCTGAAAGGTAATGGTGAAACATCCCTAACAAGTTGCACCCTTCAAGATTGTTTTGAAGATAAAATCATGGTTCCTGTTCTTTTTGTTGCACTACATCAGGGCACTGTGCTAAGTATACAACAACAAAATTACCAAGGGTAGCATTTGATCTACTGGTTAAGCTATTGATTGGCATACCTACATTCCATAATAGGTGTTGGGGTTCAAGCCCACACTCCACACCTTGGGAAACAGCAAGTGATGTTGAAGTGGTTGGGTCCTACCAAATCATGTAGAAAACCTGGTCTGAGTTTTCAGTTCCTGGCTTCTGCCAGAAACTGAAATTGTGACCAATTGAAAGCGAAGCAGCAGATGGGATCCCTCTGAAATAAAATTTTAAAATCATTTCCAGGCTCTGTGCAATAGCCTAGTGGCTGGGTCCTTGCTTTGCATGCGCTAGGATCCCATAGGGGCATTGAGTCCTGTCCCGGCTACTCCACTTTCCATCCAGCTCCTGCCTCTGGCCTGGAAAAGCAGCACAGGATAGCTCAAAGCCTTGGGACCCTGCACCCATGTGGGAGACCTGGAGGAAGCTCCTGGCTTCGGATCAAATCAGCTCAACTCTGTCTATTGTGGCCACTTGAGGAGTGAGTCAGCAGACAGATCTTTTTCTCTGTCTCTCTTCTTTGTAAATCTGCCTTCCCGATAAAAATAAATAAATCTTTTTTTTTTAGAAAAATAATTTGCAATTTATAGATGACTGACAAAGGGTTGATGACTTTAATGTAAAAAGAGGTCATCAATTTGATAAGGTGAATATTCATATAGAAAAACCAGTAAGGGACACATGAAAATTAACCAAAAGAGAAATAAATGGTCATTCAACATTAAAAATTTTTTCTGGGCCCGGCGCGGTGGCGCAAGTGGTTAAGTCCTCGCCTTGCACGCCCGGGATCCCATATGGGCGCCGGTTCTAATCCCGGCAGCCCCGCTTCCCTTCCAGCTCCCTGCCTGTGGCCTGGGAAAGCAGTTGAGGACGGCCCAAAGCTTTGGGACCCTGCACCCGCGTGGGAGACCCGGAAGAGGCTCCTGGCTTCGGATCGGCATAGTATCGACCCGTTGCGGCTCACTTGGGGAGTGAATCATCGGATGGAAGATCTTCCTCTCTGTATCTCCTCTCTGTATATCCGCCTTTCCAATAAAAAATAATAAAAATAAATCTTTAAAAAAAAAAATTTTTTTTCTTCCTACTAGATGTATTATGAATAAAAACAGTGTACTATCACATTTTCCCTTACGCAATCTGCAGAAGCAATAGTTCAGAAATATCATGTAGTGGGGGGCTGGTGCTGTGTGCCGTTTACAGCATCAACACCCCACATGGGCGCTAGTTCAAGTCCTGACTACTCCATTTCCAATCCAGCTCCTTGATAACACACCTGGGAAAGCAACAGAAGATAATCCAAGTGCTTGAGAGATCTGCTACCTATGTGAGAGACTTGAATGGAACCCCTACCTCCTGGTTTTAGCCTGGCCCAGGCCTGGCTGTTGTGGTCATTTGGAGAATGAACCAGCAGATAGGACAGCTCTCTCTTTGTAACTCTGCCTTTCAAATAAAAATAAAAATTTAAAAAAGTGACCTAGCAGTGGCATGGCATAAATGTGGGAAAGGAGATGTTTGTGTGCACTCATCCAAGGAAACCAAGGTGGCAGTTTGCAGTCTTTCTGGAGAGCAGCTGGAGTGAAGCCCAGGTTCATTTGGAGGATCTCTATCCACTGTTCTAAATTACTTCGCCCTTGATACCCCTCCCTCTTCTACAAGGTTCAGGAAAGAGACTCAAGCCAGTCAGCACTGGTCCCGGGGACTTTGAGATGTGGCCTGGGGACTTGCCTTGCCCAGGATCAAAGGGCAGGGTCACAGAGCGGGCAGAGCCCTGGGCAAGCCAGCACTCCCGGCTGTGCTGTCACGCACGTCCAGTTCAGGGCGTTCTAGCTGCTCTGTATTTGGCAACCTGAGAATTTGAGCTGAGTTCTCCGGTCTGTCGCACTAAACACCCTTGCTGAGGGCTTTGCCTGGCACAGGCAATGGGGGTTAGTTAGAGCAAGCTCATGGAGGGAGAAAGGCCTGGGGGGGGGAGGGGATCTTGCCCAGGAACACACAGCCTGGGACCCTCACTTCCATGTCTGACACTGCTTCTCACATCTCCCCTTACCTCCTGTCCTCACGCCAAGTCCTTATTCTGGCCTCCTGACTCCACCGTGTACCCAGCACACTTTTTCCTTTTGCTTCTTGCTCTAGCTTCTGTCTTCTGCTTTGGTGTTAAATCTTGCAGATTCATTTGTGTGCTCTTTTCTGCATATTCTGCATCCAATATTCGCTGTTGAGGTGCGGAGTGACAAGTGGGGAGATTTCTAGAGCCAAGACTAAACGTACAATTCTCATTCAAAGGCTGCCATTCCATCTGTGCTGGTTTCAGCCCCTTTGGAGCCACTACCTGTGTCAGTACAAGTTGTTGGGCTGAACTGATGAGCCAGAGGATAAGCTGGCTCATCAGAAGATAAGAGAGCTTATCACAAGCCAGGAATACCTGATAGCTTTGAAACACCACAAACGACAGAAGAAAACTTCACTAGCCTCCGCGTTAGCTTTGCCAAGGTCAAGCAGATGCTCCCATCCAAAGATGTTTGGCATGTTGAATCTGTGCAGATCAACACCCACCATGACGACACATCACAGGCGTGTGCAAACTGAGGAGCTGCTGCCTTCCCCCATCCCCCACACCTAAAATGCGTAAAAGTCTAGCACTGTGTGCCCTGGGTGGCCATTTCCTCATGGGTCACCGTGCCGTGTGGAAGTGGCCCCAGGCAGTCTCCCATCAGGGAGCAGTGGTCAGACTATTTCTCTTTCTGCTCTCTCTCTTCCCCACTTCTTGCTGGAATAAAGACCTCCTGTGTGACTTGCTGTGTCTGGCTTATTGGGTTTGTGGCCATAGAAGCTAACACAGTGACACCTGGGGATGTACTTGGGCCCAGGGGAAAAAGGAAAGAACACAAATACAAAATATAAAGGGCTTATAACCAACAAAATCAGTTTGAAGAAGAATACGTCTGGAAAAATTCTATGATGCCAATTCTTTTATTTGGAAATTTAAAAACTATTTCAAAATTTATTTGAAAGAGAGAGAAAACACTCCGCTGTGTTGTTT